TGCCGCCCTTCCAGATATGGAAAAGCAAAACCGTGGGGGCAATTCTGTTGGGAAAGCAAGCTCACAATTTCTGATTTAATAAGTATAATAGATACAAGTCAATCTCTTCTTGATGACACAGTGTCCTCACCAAACCTGAGTTAGCTTGAAACTGTTGGAGATAAATCCATGCTGTATGGGATGCACTTCATCATGCTCCTGGGGGCTCCTGCACCGACACAGAAGGTCGCTTGTTACTGCAGAGCAAGTCAGCTTCTGCACTGGCAGTGTGGGGTGAAATGCTGGCTTGCTGGTTTGTTAGCTGTGAAACTCCAGGCAATCTACTTCACCCCTCTGAGTGTAAGTTTCCTCTTCAACAAAACAACAGAACAAAACAAAAAAGACACTCTTTCTTCAAGGCTTGGTACTTCAGTGACAGGAGGCAAAGTGTGAGTGTTACAGGAGGCAGAAAGAAATTATTTAGGCAGAAAGGGTAAAGAGTCCCTGGTAGGAAAGTTTCCTTCTAACGAAAAGCAGCTCAGAAATAGCTCCCTTTCAGGCTGGGCACGGTGGCTCATGCCTGTAATCCCAGCACTTGAAGAGGCTGAGGCGCGAGGATCACCTGAGGTCAGGAGTCCAAGACAAGCCTTGCCAACATGGTAAAGCACTTCCTCTACCAAAAAAAAAAAAAAAAAAATTTAGCTGGGTACGATGGCAGGTGCCTATAGTCCCAGATATTCAAGAGGCAGAGGCAAGAGAATTGCTTGAACCCAGGAGGTGGAGGTTGCAGCAAGCCAAGATTGTACCACTGTACTCCAGCCTGGGCAACAAAGCAAGACTCTATTTAAAAAGAAAAAGAAAAGCGAAAGGACTGGATGCTTGGCTCACGCCTGTAATCCCAACACTCTGTGACATTGTGATCAGTTTCAAGCTAACTCAGGTTTGGTGAGGACACTGTGTTATCAAGAAGAGATTGACTTGTATTTATTATACTTATTAAATCAGAAATTGTGAGCTTGCTTTCCCAACAGAATTGCCCCCACGGATTTGCTTTTCCATATCTGGAAGGGCGGCATATCTTACTCAAGGGAACCCCATCTTTTGAGTCACCAAACGCAAGCATGGCATTGTTGTGTTGCAGAGACGCTGCAGCCAGGCGGCCTGGGCAGCCTTGAACAAGTTATGCAACCTCTCTGTGCCTCAGTTATCTTATCAGTGAAAAATGCAGATAAAAATCATACCAGCACTTTGGGAGGCCAAGGCAGGTACATCACAATGTCAGCATTGTGCATCACCTGAGGTCAGGAGTTTGAGACTAGTCTGGCCAACATGGTGAAACACTAGCGCTACTAAAAATACAAAAAATAGCCAGGCATGGTGACAGGCATCTGTAATCCCAGCTACTTGGGAGGCTAAGGCATAAGAATCGCTGAAACCTGGGAGGTAGAGATTGTGGTGAATTGAGATTGCACCACTGCACTCCAGCCTGGTTCATAGAGTGAGACTCAGTCTCGAAAAAAAAAAGAAAAGAAAAGAAGTAGCTCCCTTTCTAATCTCATGCAGTCCAAAAGAAATCACTTCTCTTCTCACAACAAGCAGTGAAAGGTGAAGACGTAAAACACAGATAAGAGAGCTCAAGCATAGAAGGGTGGGGCCTGCAGTCTCCTGGGTCCCCACAAACTTCACATTCATACAACAGGCCCCGCTAAAACAGTGGGCCTTAATAAGTACATTCCTTTCCCTTTAGGCACACTAAGATAGGGAAGCTAAAAGTGGACTGGGGTGGCGGGGAGGGACGCTGGCAGCTGCACAAAGATGCCTGGGAATGGCACAGAAACTCCCTCCCAGGTAAGCAAAACAGACTAAGAGTTGGCTCAGGTGGTTAGGGAATGGAGTGGGATTAAAAAAAAAGTCTCTGATGTATACAGATAGCATACCTGGTCCCAACTAAACCATCAGGCTCTAGGAGGATAAGACATCCACTCCTCACTAACCCCCTCCTCACTAGCCCATTTATAAAAACTCTGACACTTTTACTACCGCCTGGCAACCCACTCCGGACCCCTGTCTGTGATGGAGAGCAGTACTTTCCTTTTGCCTATGAAACTCCTGCTCCAGACTCACTCTGTGTGTGTGTCTGTGACCTTGATCTCCTTGGCTATGGGACCAAGAACCCTGATACTTATCCCAGACAAGGAGGCTGCTTCATGAGGAAGCACTCACTAAATGTATTTCCACCTCTTGTCTAGTTCTGCAATTTTGGATATTGTTTACGTGGCCAGGGGAGAGACACTGAGTCTCCTTTCCTTCCTGTGTTCATTCCTAGATCCATTTCTTGATTGCTGTAACAATAGGCAAGGTACCTAACCTCTCTGGTCTCAAACTCCTAATCTGTAAAACGGGCATGGTGGTGACAGCATCTCCTTCTAAGTTCCTTAGAGCAGTTGTGGAAAATTAATTGGGATGTTTTATGTAAACTGCTTGAAACAGTGCTGGGGACCCAAGGACCCAGTGGTGTTGGTCCTTCTGCTTGTCAGGGATGAGAGGAAGAGAAGTTTTAGATATAGTGAACTCCAGGTTTCTCTTCAAAGAATCAGTATGTCAGTGTGTTCAGCTCTCTTATTCTTTAATTCTCCATGTTAAAGTTTAACTTCCTCGTGGTTTCAGTAAACAACCTTTTCCACCAGTTCTAATCGGTGGTTCACATCTGTACCCCTGGTCCCCTGCTCCGTCCTGACTCATCCTGGTCACCTACTCTGGTCACCTGCCCTGGTCACCTGCTTTGATCTGAGTCACCCCTGGTCACCTGCTTGGACCTGTCCAGTACCCATCCTTCCCGGCAAATTACCCGCCCCACCACTCTGGCTTCTATTCCTGCTCTCTTTAAAATAGCCAATCAGAATTAACTTACACTGTGCAGTCTAACCCTAACCAATAGGGGAATGACACAGCAGTAGGGGCTACCTGCGTCAGGAATAAGAACCCCTTCCCCTCCCCTGTCCAGGTGTGTGCTCGCCATTGCTCCTGTGAGGCGCACCCTTCTATGGAAGTAAATTGCCTTGCTGAGGAAATTTATATTTGAGTGCTGCTTCTTTTGCGGCACCAAAAATTTACATATAACAGAAGGGAGTTGAACACCCCTCAGCCGAGGAAGGAAGAAGAGTATGTGATAACTGTGGTCAGGGATGACCAATAAGACACCTTGCGAGGGACAATGGCTTACAGTATTATACCAAGTGACTTTAAACAGAAGCGCCACCCTCTGAGTCTGTTAGAGAGTCCACTTTTAATGCTGGCGTCCGAGAGTCAGCTAGAGCTCAAACCTCCCAGCTATGAACAAAGGGCGGTCAACATTTTTATACCAGTTTAGGGTCAGGGGACAGTAAGCAGATTATTACAGAGGCAGAACGAGCAGGTTGGGGGCAGGGGGTGCCTAACAGAAAAGTTCTACTTAAAGTTGCTTTCTACTCAGGATGTGGGGTAAGCAGTTGCACAGCTGCAAGTCCAGGATGTACAGGCCAGTGAGCCGTTTCTCAAAAAAGTGGTTACAAAGATGCCAGGCGTCTCACACCATAAGCTCTCAGAACAGAATGCCTTACATAGCTCAAGGTGGGCGACACTGCTCAGGGTGGGCACAATGGAGTTGTCAGGATTGTTTAAAAATGTATTCATCACAGCCAAGCTAGGGTATTTCAACAGGACTGACAGGGAATAGCTGAGGTGGACAGGGGCAGGCGTCTGGGTCACAGATCCAGGCATCTCCAGGCATGGAGAGTGGGCAGCTGCAGCATCAGCTAAGCCTGCAAGGACAGCCGGAAGCCCACACAATGGTGGTCATGCACTAGGCGAGAGAACAGCAGCACTGGGTCCTTCTCTTCCAGCCCCCGTGCTAACTCCAGGCTGATGCCTCTGTGAGCTTTCACTCATCTGGTGGCCATACGTTGCCACGTGAAAAACATCCGGTTACAAGACATTATACCATGATACTATTTTAATTTTTTAAGAAAAGCACTCTGAAAATAAAGTTCACCAAAATGTTAACAGTAGTTTATTTCTGGGTGATGGGTTTTTAAAAACTGTCTTTTAAATATATTTTTGAGCTGCCTGGGTTTTTTATTTGAATTACAATGAGCATGCATGACTTTTAATAATAAGAACGAGTCATTTTTTTCCCATTTCCATTTTGGATGGAAAAAAGAACCTATATTTATCTAGCATCATAAGATGTTATGAATCTGTGCATCTTCCAGCAAGCTAAGTTTTATTCTCTATTAGATGCAATTCAATGCCATGAACATTTGGGGAGCATTGCCTCCGTGCCAGCTGTTGGCCCTGGCGTGACAAGAACAAATAAAGCACAATTCTTGCTTTTAGAGAGCTCAGAGTGCCGAGCAATTACTTCTGTTCTGTGTTTATAAAAGCTCACAGTTTCCGATTTAATAACTACATGAATACAAGTCCATCTCATTTTGATAACTCAGTGTCCTCACCATCACAGAGTTAGGCTGAAACTCTCTGTTGGGGATAAAACCACATTGTATGGGATGTACTCTGTCATGTTCCCAGGGGCTCCTGTGTTGACACAGTGGGTCACTTAATCTTTAGACTAAGCGGTCTTGGACCATTATGGTTTTCTTGCTGCTCAGTAAATAATAATGATGTATTCTCCCTTCTGAACACTTACTACATGTTAGGCAAAGTGCTAAACTTTTATATGAATGATCACATTTTATTCTCAGAAGAACCCATGAAGGATGGGCTTTATTATTTTCTCAGTTTTAAAGAAGAGAAAACTGAGGCTCAGGGAGGTTGAGTAACTTGCCTAAGGTCACACAGCTACTCAGTGCACATGCCAAGACTTGAACGGATTCCAGGCTGATTCCAAGGCCTCAGACATTCATCTCTAACCTACGCCATCTTTCCATGCTCATGCTGTGTTTGCGTGTTACAGTATGTTTTAGGTTCCAAAGAATCTGGAATGTTCCTAGAATCGTAATTCTTGTCCCATGTGTTCTTCTAGAATCCTGCCAATTCCCCATCAGGGGGTGGGACCTAAATCTCCTCCCCTTGAATCTGGGTGGGCTCATTTTCTAGCTGTGGATTTCACTGCTCAGATCTCCCTTCGAGAAATAACTTCCTGTTCAGCGTAAAGAAAGTGCTCAGCTGCTTGCTGTCCACACCTGTGAGCACCACCAGAGTGTGTCTTTGCCTTCAAGCCAAGGCCACTCTCTTTCTGGATGGTCTCGACCAGTGACTAAGCAGGGCAGGGTTCTAGGGCCTGTCCATCACGGGATGCCTTTAAGGGACACTCTGTCCCAGAGCATGAAGTGGGTTGGCCGAGACTCTGTCTGATCTGTGCTGCCATCTGAGGCTTTCCTGCACCACCCGTGTCCCCTTCTTTCCCTTTACACCTGTCAGAGCCACACTGTGTCCTGAAGGCTGATCCTGCCTCATTCTGCTTCTTCCTCCCATTCTCTTTCTCAGCTGTGCCCCCCAATAAGCTTCTTGACTCCTGACTCCCATCTCAGTGTCTGCTTCCCAGGGGACACATCTGACACAGCCTTTTGCTTGCTTGTGACCAGAAGTGCTGCTGCATGACTTTCGGGATGAGGCTGTGAAAGGCAATGCAGCTCGCACGTTGTTTGCTAAACCCTCACTCTGGAAGCCTTCAGCTACCACGGAAGAAGCTCAGCTCCCCTGAGGCCGCCACACAGTGAAGAAGCCCAAAGTAGCCCACATGAGGAGACCATGTGGAGAGGCCCTGAGACTATATGGAGGGGAGAGGGGAGAGGGGAGAGGGGGGAGGGGGAGGGGGGGAGTGGGGAATGGGGATTGGGGAGGGGGGAGCGGGGCGGAGCGGGGAGTGGGGAGTGGGGAGAGTGGAGGCGAGGGGAGCGGGGGCGCGGGGGATAGGGGAGCGGGGAGAGGGGCGAGAGGGGACAGGGGGGAGGGGGGCGGGGGGGCGGGGGGGTGGCGCTGGGAGAGGGGGGGGAGAAGGGGAGAGGGGGGGAGGGGCGCGGGGGAGGGGTGATGGGGAGAGGGGAGGGGGAGCGGGCGGGGGGAGGGGGAGGGGGCGGGGGGGGAGAGGGGAGGGGGGAGAGGGGAGGGGGGAGGGGAGGGGGGCGAGGGGGAGAGAGGGCGGGGGAGAGGGGCGAGAGAGGGGAGCGGGCCGAGGGAGAGGGGGGGGGGAGAGGGAGAGGGAGAGGGGGAGATGAGGGTGAGGGAGAGGGAAGAGGGAGAGGAGGGGATAGGCGGAAGGAGAGGAGAGGAGAGGAGAGGATGGATGGGAGAGGAAGGGAGGAGGAGGGAGAGAGGCGGAGAGGAGAGGAGAAGAGGAGAGAGGATGAGAGAGGAGAGAGGATGAAGAGAGAGAGGACGGAGGAGAGTGAGAGAGGAGGACTTGAGAGGAGAGCGAGAAGAGTGAGAGAGGAAGAAGAGAGAAGAGAGAAGAGGATGAGAGGAGAATGAGAGAGGAGAGGGGGAGAGAGAGAGTATGAGGAGGAGGAGATGGGAGCGAGAGGAAGAAAGAGCAGAGAGAGGGGAAGAGAGAGCGGACGGATACGAGAGAGAAGAGCAGAGAGAGAGATGAGAGAGGACTAGGAGAGAGAGAGAGAGAGAGAGGAGATACCTGATCAGCCCTCATGTATTCCAATTCCTTGGGCTTCTATTTCCAGCCATCACTGGACTGAGACCACATGGAGACCGGAAGCCAGTACTGCCCAGCTGAACTCACCCTGCATTCCTGATCCACTGAGACCTTGAGAGACGAAATACTGCTGTTTTTTAAGTCACTAAGTTTGGGGCTGATTTGTTACCCAGCAATAAACAGCGGGCACAAGTGCCATGTGGACTGTGGTATGGGAGCCTGGGGCCTATCATTCCTCATCATCCTTATGCAACTTTACCACCCTGCGGGAGCTCAACGCAGTAGGAGTTCCACGTGCATTTGTCTCTGCTTCGTATGCTCAGTGAGACCACAGATATGGGCCGGTTCTCAGCGGCCTGGAAGTACTCTTTCTAATTAAATCATGATGAGAATCCATTCTAAGACACCCTCCAAATATTTGTTGATAAAAACAGATGCTGCTTCTGAGGTTTTGGATTAAAATGGTGAGACTATGAAACTCACAGTTATGAGACCCCTCATGTCAAATAGGCAGAAATGACTGTCCATGAGATAACTAGCTCCTGGCCAGTCTCAACGTAGCTATGGAGACATAGCAATTAGTGCCAAGGACAGAGAGTCATCCTTGTGTCTTCTTAGCCCACCCCAAATCTTGATTCTGAGCTGGGCAGACCTGGCTTTGAATCCCATCTTCACCCATGTAACTGTAATTCAGATTGTAAAGCTGTTGGCAGAATCCACCAGAGCGGAACATATGCATTCCTTATGATCCAGCAGGTCTCTCCAAGGTATGAACCAAACACGAGTATATATGTATGTTCACCAAAGTACGTGTTTTGCAGTGGGCAGGACTGTGCAAGCCTACCTCAAAGGGCAAGGAAGCCGACAGGCCTAAGAAAAAGGCTGACAAATTCAGTTTCTTTTTCTTTTTTTTTTTTAGAGATGGAGTCTTGCTCTGCCACCAGGCTGGAGTGCAGTGGCATGATCTCGGCTCACTGCAACCTGTTTCCTGGGTTCAAGCAATTTTCCTGCCTCAGTCTCCTCAGTAGCTGGGATTACAGGTGCATGCCACCATACCCAGCTAGTTTCTTGTATTTTAGTTGAGACAGGGTTTCACCAAGTTGGTCAGGATAGTCTCGATCTCCTGACCTTGTGATCCACCCACCTCAGCCTCCCAAAGGAGGGACTTAGGAAGAGAAGCCATGTCTGTGTCTTGGATGGCAGTGAGACAAGATGATGGATCCCTGTGCCACTGTGGCTGAGATCTAGGGCTTATATACTGTAGGGGAGGGGTGGTTCAGAAGGGTTAGGGGGGACAATTGATTGTAGCATCAACGTTGCCTGACCTGAGGGCAGGATTCATAGCAAGTACCTGGCCTCACACAAGGAACAACAGATAAACTGGAAATCTTAAAGGCCTTCTCGGAAGAGGGGTTAATCACAAGCCAACATGGTAGATTAGCATCCAAGAAGAAGCTGCTTTGAATTCCACAGACATGTACTAGAATGCTCATGGCAGCCCAGGGTTTCAAAGGCCCAGATCTGGATAGTATCCAAAGGTCCCTTGTGTTGGTTTTATATTGCTACATAACGAATGGCCACAAAATTTATAGACTAAAACGACCTCAAATTTTTGATCTCATGGTATCTGTACATCAGGAGTTAGGTCATGGACACTGCTTCAGAATCTCACAAAGCTGCAAGCCAGGTGTGTGTCAGCCCATTCCGGCTGCTCTCCGCAATGCCACAGACGGGGTAGGTTATAGCAACAGAAACGTACTGCTCACATTCGGAGGCTGGGGAGCCCGAGATCAAGGCACCTGCACATTGGTCCATTGAAGACCTGTTTTCTGGTTCACAGATGGCAACTTCTAGCTGTGTCCTCACAGGGTGGAAGGGAAAAGGGGTCTCCCTCGGGCCTCTTTTATAAGAACACTCATCCCATTCATGAAGGCTGCACCCTCATGACCTGATCACTCCCAAAGGCCCCACGTCTAATGCCATCACCTTGGGGGTTAGGATTTCCTAAGTTGAGATCCTGTTGTAAACACTATGGCAAACTGCCTGCATGTGAGTAGTCCTTGCAATTTCAAGGTTCAACAGATGTAGGGTCCACTTCCAAGCTCACATTTTGTTGGCAGAATTCAGTTCCTTGCAGCTGCAGAACTGACAGCCTCAGTTTCTTTCTGGATGTGAGCTAGATGCTGCCCTCAGTTCTTTGCCACAGGTGCCATCTCTGCCGCCAAAATGCCACAGGCTGTAACAAGGCCTGCAAAGGAGAAAGTGCTCTTGCAAGGTGGAAGTCACAGTCCTATGAAATGTAACTGTGAGTGAATTCCATCACACTCATTGTATTCTACTGGTTAGAATCACATCACACACCCTGCCTACTCTCCAGGAGAGGGGATCACATAGGCTCATGAACACCGGGAGGGAGGGATCATGGAGGTTACCTTAGGTTTGCCTATCACATCCCTCAATGGCAAAATGCATAAATAAAGTGTGGCATTCACACAGTGGAGCAGTCCACAGCAACGAGAATGAACAACCTCAATCTCACGCAGCAAGAGGGATGCATCTCCAAACAGATGACGGCGTGAAGGAGGCTGGACACTAGACAGCCTATGCTGTGTGACTCATGGTATAAACTTCAATAATTGCCCAAACCTCTGCTGTCAGGAGTCAGGATGGTGGTTACTTGGGGTGCAGTTGGCGACTGGGGCCATGCATACCTTCCTTGTTGGATGAGAGCAGCTCATGGCCTGCTCACTCTCCTAGCTCACATGTGAGAGAAGAACCAGCAGAGGCTGAGAAGCAGCTCTGAACCTTGATTTTGGCTTCAGAAACAAATGCGTACTTCTGATCCAATAAGCTGTGGCCAGAGGCAGTTCCTTCCAAAGGCAGTGATATTATGGAAAAGGCTCTAAAGGGCCAGGCATGGTGACTCCAAATCCTAGCATTCTGGGAGGCTGAGGCAGGCAGATCACCTGAGGTCCAGGACTTCAAGATCAGCCTGGCCAACATGATGGAACCCCGTCTCTACTAACAATGCAAAAATTAGCCTGGTGTGGTAGTGGGCACCTGTAATTCCAGCTACTTGGACAGGAGAATCACTTGAACCTAGAAGGTGGAGGTTGCAGTGAGCTGAGATTGCACCACTGTACTCTAGCCTGGGCAACACAGCAAGACTCCTTATCAAAAAATAAAAATGAAAAAGGCTCCAGTGACAGCCCCAAAACGTCCCATTTCACATCTGTCAGCCTACAAGCCTATGCCAGTTTTGCCCACCCTTCAGGTGGTTTCAGGAAACCAACATTGCTTTGCCTTCTCTTCTTGGGAGACAGAGGCAGATGGCTGATTCCTGGTCATCCGCACAGGGTGTGGGCAGCAAGAACTGAGTGCCCTATGCTCTCCCTGGTGCCTGGCTTTGTAGCTGGTGGGGAAGTGCTTTCACCATGGTACAGGGACATTAGTCTGTGGAATGGGTATCATTTCTGACAGATGCAGGACAAGGAGAAACAGATCTGCCCCTTGAGCTGAAAGTTAAATTTCTGCTATAGGTTTTCCCCAAATGGAATGAGAGGTGGCAGGAGCGAAAAGCAAAACTAACAACAACAGGCATCTTTTCTCCATCACACCCCCTGTGTTTTCAATGGCCAAAGCATGTGGCTGCCCCCAAAAAGGGCGTCGGTTCAGCCACAGAAATGGTGGTGTTCAGCAGCTGCCTGAACGCTCTATCTGAAATCCAGCACGGCTGCCTCACTCTCCTGCTCAGAGCTTGTCAACACTCTCAACACTCGCGGCTGCTCAGCAGTGGCTGGCAGCTCCAGCACTCTGGGTTGCAAGCAGTTGTGAGTTTTATTCCAAGTAAGTTAAAGGTTAAAACGTGGCTGTTTGTAGGGGATTTCAACTTTTTTTTTAAGTTGGAGCAAACTTCTGAAAGCCGTATCTTAGAATATTTCTAGGCACCAGCGCAAACGGTGAACAGCCCATGTCCGTCAGGAGAAAGATAAATTGTGGGATATTCAGCGAACGGACCTTACACAGCAATAAAAGAGAACAAGCGACCAATATACACGACACGGACAGATCTCAGAAACACGAAGATGAGTGAAGGAAAACAGACAGGCTGTGCGCCGTGTGCTCCACTGACATCAACGGAAAGCTGAGGGAAAAACTAATCTACAACAATCAGCATCAGAACACTGACTGCATCTGCAGGAGGTGTGCGTATTTACGGGAAAGGGAGCCCGCTACGGTGCTGGGAAAATTCTTTATTTTTATCTCACTGGGTTACACAGATGTGTATCTATATAAAAACCACGGAATTGTATGCTTAAGATTTGTGCACTGTAGCCCCAAAAAGAGTGGGTTTGAAGTTATCCACGTTAATAACCACATCACTCCAGGCCAGGTACAGTGGCTCACACCTGTAATCCCAGCACTTTGGGAGGCCAAGGCAGGTGGATCACTTGAGGTCAGGGGTTCGAGACCAACCTGGCCAAGAAGATTAAATCTTGTTTCTATTAAAAATACGAAAATTAGCCAGGCGTGGTGGCTCACACCTGTAATCCCAGCTACTTGGGAGGCCGAGGCAGGAGAATTGCTTGAACTGGGAGGCAGGGGTTGCCGTGAACCAAGATCGCGCCAGTATACTCCAGCCTGGGAGACAGAGCAAGACACCATCTCAAACAAATGAATGAACAAAAACAAACCACATCACTCTGACTTGCTTTTTGTTTTGTTTTGTTTTGAGACAGGGTCTTGCTCTATCATCCAGGCTGGAGTGCAGTGGAATGATCAGAGCTCACGGCAGCCTTGAACTCCCAGGCTCAAGTGATCCTCCTGACTCAGCCTCTCCAGCAGATGAGACTACAGGCGACCAAGTGTGGTAAATTTTTTGTATTTTTTGTAGAGATGGGGTTTTGCCATGTTGCCAGGAGCTGTGGCTGGAGGGTCGGGGCGGGAGGAAGGGGCCTGGCATAACGAGCTTTGTGAGGAGTAGGGTGTTTTCTCCAGGTCAGTGGTTCCAACTGGTTACAGAGGAATGGACAGTACTCCATGCTCAGTACCACCTAGTGGGCACTCCATTCTGATGTAATCAATTGCAAGTACCCTCATTCTAGCTTTAGTCTCTCATCTTTTCATCCCTCAAAAGTTTTTCATAATGAGGTAAGGGCCAGGCACGTTGGCTCATGCCTGTAATCCCAGCACTTTGGGAGACTGAGGCAGTTGGATCGCTTGAGCTCAGGAGTTCAAGACCAGCCTGGTCAACATGGTGAAACCCTGTCTCTACTAAAAGTACAAAAATTAGCCGGGTGTGGTGGCAGGTGCCTGTAATTTCAGCTACTCCGGAGGCTGTGGGAGGAGAATCACTTGAATCTGGGAGGGTTGCAGTGAGCTGAGATGGTGCCACTGCACTCCAGCCTGGGTGACAGGGCGAGACTTCGTCTCAAAAACAAACAACAGTAGATCGAGTCCCCCTTAGGAGATGGGCATAGGTACAAAGTTCTCCTTTTATACATATTCTTACAAACAGTATCTTACGTGTAAGGAAGATTCTTAGACATAAGAGAGTTTAAGAACCACCAGTTTAGATGCAACATGACTCTCATATTTAATTTTTACTCGTTCTTGACAAATACTTGTAGCAAAATCCACAAGTTCCAGCAGAGGGGGATGTTACTGCATGAAAGGAAAAATCTTTAGCAGGAAACTAGAATTCGATAAGCCCCACGTTCCAACACAGGAAAATGAAGACGCTTCCTTTTGAGAAGAAGAT